AAGCCTCTTGTGTGCGTCCCAACGCTTCACCCGAAATTCGTCTGCCAACTGACAGTTTTGTCTACTATGGGGGGGGGGGGCTGGGACCGATTCTCTGCATCTTCATCTCCACCGAACATAAAGCTAAGGTAGAGGGAGCATAACTCGTCGGCAGACATCAACCTCCTTGTTCTGCTTCGTCACTAGGCTCTTTCTCTCTTTCTCTCTCTCTGCTTTGTTTTGCTTTGCTCATGACAGAAAAGCGGAGAGCTGCTTATTTATTTATTATACAGATTATGGACGCTTTTAGTACTGCCAAATGACCTTAATTACTTACTTTTGAGGCTGTAAGTAGAGTTTTACCATAAAAAACTGAGTTATCGACTAACTACTTTACTGATCACGAACAGTTTGCTCGAAATCATGGCCACATTTTCCTTTTAACAAACTCTAGTTAGGGTGTAGTAGAAGGTTCGGTTTTATCTCCTCGCGTGTCCTTCATTACCGCCTATGACGATTTTGTAATTCGAAATATGCAGACATTATTTTCGGTGTATAATGTCCTAGTCTACAACCTTTTTGACTGATCTGATTGTCAAAATTTGTGCTTGGATGTTTCTAAGCACGCTGATGTTTTGTTCTCTCTTATTAAACGTGGTAGATGAACAGTCTGAACTCAGACATGATCTTCGCATTCACGGTGTTCCCACTGCCAGGAAATTTGCAATGTACTAGTTAATTGTGGTTCTCCAGGGTTGGATCAAATCAGTACAGTTTGCGCAAAAGTCAAAAAAAATTACCATTTATGCTTCCCGGCTCAGGCTATTTTCCGTCCGTCACATCTTATTAAATGTTTGTCCCATTATTGTTCCTCGGCCATCTTTCCCAATCTATTCAGTAGGGACTACATAAGTGTTTCCAGATCCATCAAACGTTGATCGAAGAGCACGATTATCCCCCGTGAGTAACTTGTCATGTTTATTGTTCATAAATATCCTATTGTTTGTTGGAAATTCTCTCGAAAGATATATGAACAGACCATAACTATCCTCTTCACCATGATCTTAGTCAATACGCCTCTAACTCTGCAACTCGGTTATACAGTAAACTTGTCTATGCTCGCACAAACGCATACTGCTCTTCTGTGTTGCCATATTCAGCTCGTCTTTCTGAACAAATATGAACAAATTGCAGCCGAACCAACAACTGCATTGCATTCATTAACATACCATTGTATGCATGGCATCTGAATTGTCTTAATGTTATTCAGACATTTATATGTCACACTTGTTCGTGTTTATTAGCGTTGGAAAACTATACAGCCGCTGAATAAAGCAAATTAACTTGACTACAATGCGATGCACAGGTGTGGTTGTGGTGAGTACACAGGTAGTGAACCGTCTCGAGAGAAGTTGTTTCGTCGCAACTGATCAGTTCCTACATTCATATATCGTTCCTGTTTTGAGTGTAAGGAGTGAACTGAGGTGAAGGAAAAGCGTCCCCAGGTCGCAGTGAAAGAAACGTCTGATTTTTCAAAATATCCTTAATTCAATTTATTGGAGTCAGTAGTGGACTGTGCGAACCCTCGCTAGAGAAAAAATGAGCCGATCGCGTGTATGATTGCAAATCACGAAAAGTCACTCACTCGAAATACTTGTCCGTTATTCAGATGAAATTCTGAGGTTCCAATCACATCCAAATTCAACTGCATGGGTTCAACGAGCGTTTTGTAGCTGCTCAGACTTTTGGAGATTTCGTAGATTTTATTGGTCACCTTTTCCGGCGCGGGACCGCCGTTCTCACAGTTATATTTGATTCCGAAATCCGCATCCACGCCACCCGGATTGTGACTTGCAGTCAGAATAATGCCACCGTTTAAATTATACTTTCGAATGACGCACGACGCGGCGGGAGTGGAAAGAATGCCCGATTGCCCCACTAGCACCTCAGAGACCTGTAATTTGAAGATGGAATGCAAGAGTGAAATGAAAAACGGAAGTCTTAATTATTAAAAGGAGTCTCATTGGATCTGTGTAGCAAAGCCGAATAATTAAGCTTCCCAAGTAAATTTGAACAGAGAAGTCAGAAACATGGGTTTGCACAATGTATCCATGGTCATTTCGCTGCATCTGTACACGTGCATACTGCAGTCAAAGTCATTTTATATAGTCAGTGAGATAACTACCGTGAAATGAAGACATGACTGCTAACCACAACACACAACACGACACAGTAACACAAAGAACGGGAGAGGGTGGGGGTAATCGTGTGTTACTGTGTCGTGTTGTGCGTTGTGGTTAGCAATCATGTCTTCATTTCACGGTAGTTATCTCACTGACTATATAAAATGACTTTGACTGCAGTATGCACGTGGACAGATGCAGCGAAATGACCATGGCTACATTGTGCATACCCATGTTTCTGACTTCTCTATTCACATTTGTGACGGGAAAACATTGCTTCCAGTTTCTCAAACGTCGTCTCCCAAGTAACTGATTATTCATATCTCTCGCTCTATAAACACTATCGGTCCGAGTGAATGCCAAGGAAATCTATTTGTAAATGTTTATTTAACGCAGTCCGAGAAAGTCGAGTTTCTAATTTGATAATCCCATTCTGAAATCGAACAAGAAGAGAAAGTGCTACCAAAAATAAAATGATTTTAAATATGTGCAAGGCCGATTCCTCGGGTACGTTCTTCAGGGCGATTCGACATCAAGAAATAGTACAACTGATTAAGCTAAAAGCAAAGTCAGGAAGGGTTAATTGATTCACGGGAGGAGTACCTGTGCTCCAAACCCCAGCAAAAAGTTCACACACGAATGAACACATGAAATTAGGAAGGATTCTCAATCGAGCATAGATGGTCTGTAATATATAATCCGTGGAAACGACCGCCAGTGACCATATTGGATAGTGTTGACTACAGTGGTTGACACCAGAGACAAGTCCGTTTTGGCATAATAGTGATAATAATAATAATGATAATAATAATAATAATAATAATAATAATAATAATAATAATAATGAGAGAAGTGCAACGGAACGAAGAAGCTTAGGAAACTGAACTACAGAAGAGTCCCGGTAAAGTGGACAATAGCAATATAATTACAAAGAATCAGACAGTTATTGTTATTATCACTGTTATTATTAGTATTACTCGTGTGGGACAAGGAGCTCACTATCGATGGGGAAGTAAACCTTAACCGAGAACAGAAATAATCCAAATCCGCCCGGCTCTGACGGGACGAAGTAAACTATTACATGAGAAATGTCAGAGAGGAATGAAAGAACTGCATTGTTCAAACAGCAACACGATCGACACTATCCCTATTGTAATCATAACTTTTTATTTTTACCTTAAATGGGCAACCAGAGTCGGTACATATCAGTTAACAAACACGATAAAACAAGCTAAACATTTATGTGATTCAAGGTACTGAGTTCCATTTGGGTACTTATTGAAATTTAAAATTGTTTGCACCACCAGCATGTAACACCAAAACGAATTACTGGAGTTTACCGATACAAGAAGGAAAATTCCATTGACACAAGTGGGAGGATGATGACTGTCCGACTCCCCGTCAACATGGAATCAATCGTCAACGGAATGGAATAGGATGGATAGGAGGTAAACTTTTAAGAGAGTTTACATTGGAAATGGAACGAGTCGTATCTTGGCCCACAAACAAACTGATCAACCTAGCTATAAATGCGCTTCTCCTCAGATACTCAGACCAGTTGCGACAAGAGGAAGGCCTTTGGTGTCCCGCTGTCACCATATTATTTGGCATCTTAAGCACACGCGGTACAGAATCGTTTGGATTCGCATTTGAAGGGAAACACTTGCATTCCTTAACCTCTTTGCATAGTTTTTTAAGTTTCGTCTTCAATACATTTTCCATCATTAGACAACTAACTACTGCGTGAGGATGAGTGAACTTCGTGGATTTCTCTGCTTGTCTAAGGATAAGCTCTCGTTTCCGAAGTAGCATTCTGTTCCCAATTTGGCTTTATCAACAGCGAAATATGCATCCGAACTTGCCAGTCATATGATGAACGCTAAATTAACAAAATACAAAATTGTTTTTCACATAAACCATCACATCATCATATAGTTACGGAAAGTAAACGGTGAAATCTGTCCCTGTGTATGTGTTTGGGTCGTGGAAACTGGTTTTATTTCCACCGCATAACATCGAATCTTTCCGATGTTGGTAGGCACTATAGAATATGCGGAAGAATGTTTAGGAAAATATGCCGAAAATTTGATAACTCTGAATCAATGCCAAAGAACACCTACCCCATTGGCAGCACACATTGGAATAATAATTTGCAGTAGTGATTCTTTCACGAAATATCGACCGTCACCGCCGAGAACCAAACGTACATGTTGGCGCGTTTCCAACATGTCATGCAAAGCAGCAGTTAAGATAGATTGTACAAAATTCTCCGTATACATCGGTTGCATGAATGTCTTAGTGGGCTTGCGGAGCCCGCTTGTTCCCGGCTTCTGGTCAGGGAACGCTTTCGTGGACTTCGTTTCAATCGTATAGGTCGCCATGTCAAAATAGTCCCTAGAATTGTAGAGATGAGAGGAGATAAATGTCGAGCGAAGGCAACAAATAACTACCAAACGTTGATACTGAAAACAGCAGTATTCATGGTGAGGGTGCAGCAAAGCAACAGCCAAATAGTTTTCCATCCTATCTTTGCCATTAGTGACATGAATCTTAAATGAAGTCAAACCTATTATGCCAATTTCCAGGGTATGGAACAAGTATACTCTGTTCGCTGACTAACCAAACCTGAAAATCAAAATGCAAAAAGGCTGCACACTGAGCCACCCATATCGAAATATAGCAGCAGTCAGTAATTCGGTCGGCAGGATGGGAAGCCGAAGAGCGACAATCAAGACCGATGTATGTAAATGAACGATCTATGTTTTCAAAGCGAATCTACCGTTGCATCAAGCACTAATTGAGAATAAGCCAGGATGAAAATAACCTTGATTCGAAACCACTGTCACGATACTTTTGATGGCATATAAAAGAAAATGGATCTACCCACTTTAAGATACGTTGCTTGAACAATGAGATTTACCTACACTTCTAATAGTAGTTCCACTTGAAGACCTCAGTCTTGGAACATCAAACGTAAATGTTTCGATGAGAATCGCATGACGTATTGTTCCATAATTATGGGAAATCACGAGATCCCTCTGGAAACTCTTTTGACATCAACTCCAAGTTACTGTCGTAAATAGGACAGATAATTGCAGGCAATTTTAGCAGAACTGTTTAGCTCTTGACACTTAACAAAACGAACGAAATTTAGGCTGATTATTCTGTCGTAAAACACTTGATAATGCCATATAACTGAATAACCAGTTTGCTTTGACGAAGATCAGTATTGTCCAGAGGTAGAGGCAGAACCTGAAGCAAACTTTTATCTACACCGCACATCCGGTCCTTAAATTGTCAAATTACAGTACGGTCTATGCGGAAAGTAATTGCTCTTCCCTAAGGCCGTATTCCACTTGTTTTATATGGTTAAAAAAAGAAAAAAAATAGTACCAGATGGGCTAAATTGACCAAATAGTAATCATTACGGTGGCCAACGATCGAGCTTTCCCACAGACTGCTTTGGCTGAAGAAACTAACTAAACCGCCGCACGAAGATGCATGGTTAATGATTGCACAAACTAAACTGAATTGAACTAAACAATGCAAGATCCGACTCATATTCAATATTTTGAAATCACATAGCAGTTTACTCGAACAGGTTGCACAATGCTTTCCATGGGTCGCGTGAGAATTCTTCGTGGGAGATCTCACGCCAATCTTAATCGATTGCCATAGACACCGCGAATATGACGGGGTTGTAAATAGTGCTGCTCGTACTCTTACTTTCTGCGGAGCGCTGGTCTACTTGCTTTAGATGTCTTTATTTTNTGATAATGTTCACTGTTCCCTTAATCTTTTATATACCTCTTCCTCATTGGTTGACCGAGCAGGTAACCGGAAAACCGGTTCTCAAAAGTGCAAATGGTTGCACAAACGGAGACGGAAACTATCAAATATCATACAGTATAGTGCTGAAGCATTTGACCACATGTAACATGTCGAATTTTGGTTTGAACTAACCATCCTTCAGACTTCATTTTCACGCACAATCCTTAGTTCTTCTAGTAAACCATACAGTTGGAAGCATTAGGCCTGAGTTTCGGTCTTATTAGAGCTCATCAGTTGTGCACATTCACGGTGCCTTCCGGACTTGGAATTCTGGATTCATCGCATGGAAAGCATGCTACCGCCCCGCCAACCAGCTCATATCAGGACGGAACCGAACTACCAATTCATTTTTGTTCCGGTGTCGCCTTCAGTGATAGTTTGTTGTTGGCCCGACAGGAACGAAAGGTGATATAGTTGACAATCTGTTAACTTCAATCGATTTCTTCGAGAGAAATACAGCGATAACTTCTGGCCGAAAGAACGACTATTCTAACTCCTAGAACAGTGAGTAACCAGAACACAAGAGGTATTTAGTTCCGTATCACAAGTCAAAGTGTGGTAACCATGAGTCGATGCGCGGTTAAATGAGTGAATAGGACGGTTTCAAGGTCTACGATGCACCTGTTTTTGACCCGCTTATTCACTCCTTACGGCATTACACTAATTTCAGACTTTCAAGTAACTGAAGAAAACGGTAATAACTAACACAACATACGTCAAACAAAAGTGAACAGTCAAATCTATCACTGAAGGCGATATATTTACATAAGAGATCAATAAAAAAATGGCATATGGTACATCTGTCACATCATGTTAAAGGTTTCTTGGCACCTTCATTGGCCAACCGGTCTGCGGCTTCATTACCTTCAATACCTTGATGACCAGGGACGTAGTACTGGTAAGTGAAGACAGAGAAGAGCATAAAGAGCGAGAATGGAATCAGTTTACGCAAATGTGATTGATGATCGAATACACTAAGCGCACTAGGCCAATATTAGAAAACTTGATTGAGAAAGGCAACGAAACTATGTGCGAAAATGGACGCAATGATTCTGGGACTACAGACTCATTAAACACTTGAATTCACCTGTTCTTTTCATGAAACAGAAAAAATGTATGAGTAGCTGAACCTAATCTACTGGTCAACACATGATATTATATATTTCATAATCCCGGCGTAGATTATTCCCGAAGGACCCAACTGAGAAAGCAGAGTGTAGCCCACAGAGATGTTATAACTTCATACCAAATCATCGACCAACTACCTTTGGCAACTACCAAGAGCTAGAAATCTTAGTGTTTCTTTCCTGTCGAAGAGTATATAGAGAGGACGTAACAGCGCGGAGAAAAATCCAGGTTACTTGGAATTTCTATACCCTCATGCCAGGACATAGCTTGACCGACCTTTTTCCGTCCGCTACCTACCTCGGCAAACAGCGAGCAGCGNTGACAACATATTTGGTGCCATGCATAACACATGCCCCAACCAACATAATTTATGGAGGTCGCCCACCTGTTCCACTGGACGAGCGCGATTACCTAAATCTCTGCAGCTGACGACAGTATTACTTACGCGGTTTCCCCACCAAACTCGTACAATGCGATATAGACAGCGATTTTTGAATACCGACAACCTACTTTATCTTATTCCCGTAAGGACCAAGTTTTGCGCAGTATAGCAGAACTGGTCGAACTGCGGCATACACTCGACCCGTCACGGACAGCCGGATGTCCTGACGGCGCCACAGATGTTTCAAGTTAGCAAATGCCAACCGAGCTTTCTGTATGCGAGCTGACACTTCATTCATGATGCGTCCACTTCCCAGTTAGGGTGAGACTGGGTGCTGGATCAACCCAATCTTGTGGTACCATTTTACACTTTGAAGGTGCAAAACGCATACCGAACATGGCTACACTAGCGCCCAAACTATCCATAAAAGCTTGCAACTTACTTGCATCTTCGTTTAGCACCACAATGTCGTCTGCATACTCTAGATCATACAGTCTACCACCTGGTTTATACCCTCTAACCCTTCAAGCATGATTAGATCTGCGGCTGGGAGGAGCCATCCTGTGTAGGTCGCATGGTCATGAAGGCAGACAAACCATCACGTCAAGGTGCAGTCACGTCGCCCGAAAGCAAGACAACACACTTGACCAGGATTGATGAAAATCCATATTTGGCACAAGTCATTACAATTGACCAAATTGCATCGGGGACTATCAAATAGGAACATTGGTTTTCATGTATTTATTTCAACATAAAAAAGGAAATGAGAAGAATCCGCTCAAAATTTCAACTCAGTGCTCCGGAAATTGCAATATATCATAAGGTGATACTCATGAAATCAGTTGTAAATGATTCGACGAAACTGAAACAACAGAAGTCATCAAAGGATTACAAGACAATAAGGGCACAACAGACAAAAACATCAACTTATTACAGGTCTAAAAAGCTTATCTTCCAGTATCGTAAGCAGCCTACGCTAGTCCGCTTCTGTTGGACTGAGAGACATCAATCGTACGCCGTACCTAAGCACAAATTGACAAATTTGCGGAACAAGCACATTCGGAACATACGCATTAGCTAGGTTGGTGTGGTATGTATGCAAACTAAGACAAGGCCTACTGAAAAGTAATGCGATCAAAAATTTATTCAATGAGCAGATCACACTGCTCTAATAAAATCAACTGCGGTATGCTTAACTGCGGGAATAGGATCTAGCAGGTAACACGACTATGATGAAGAAATTTGGGTTCTTGAATCAATATATTACTTTTCATATCACGAAACTGTCCCCGCTCTTGCAAATATTTCATTGTGTATGAAACAACTACCGTGATAGAATTAAAATGGTGATGCAACAGTACTTTTTTCGATCATAGATTATCTGAGTGTAAGCTACATTCCGTTCCAGAAAGGGATTTGTTTTGCTTAGCATACCATAACATAGTATCTTTCACATTCGTCTAAGTCCAGTTAGCGTGCTTCAGACAGAAGCACAGTTTTTCATCAAAGTACTATGTTATATCTCACTCCTTTTACCAAGCTTATATATAAAGAACAATACCTCAAAGTCTTATGTGCGGCGTATTCCAAGGTGCAATACACTTCTTTTTCTATTGCACACTAAACTAAAACTAAACTAAACTAAAACTGAATCACTTATCTCGGGAGTTGTTTCAGCTCAAGAGGACTGATGGAAGAAATGTCATCTCGTATCCGCAAGGCTCTGGTGGCTTTCAATAACCTACGTTACTTGTGGCGCCAACTCGACTTCAGTCTATCCTTGGATGGCCACGTTTACAATGTCACAATGCGCACTGTCCTACTCTACGGCTGAGAGTTGGCCCCTCCACACAGAATACTTATGGAGATTAAGTGTCTTTCACCGCCGTTGACTTCGTTGCATCGCCGGACTTGGAGTGACGAACCACATAAGGCCCCGATAGTTAGGCGTGGTATTGAACCGGATGATAGCAGTGCCGCCTTTTAGTTGTAAACACAACATGGATCTATCTGATCAGGTGCATAGATCAAAACAGTTATCAAAGGCGAAACCAAGGCATTAATAAACCAATCTAAAGGAAATCAAAAACACTATGCAAAAAATTACTTAACCTACCCAGGCAACATCCACGTCCGAATCTCTGGTTGCCTCGAGCAGACGCTCAACCGGTTCACGCAGCTTCACCGGTTGTCCAGTAGATAGCTTCCATCCATTTTTCTCCCATATGGGCCCCCATTCGGTAGCACATTTTTTCACGAACTTGCTGTCTGTGGCAATTCCCAACATTTTGATTCCCGCTGCTTTTGCTTGTTTCGCAGCAGTTATAGCCGCCTGTGTAGCGTATTTGTGTACATGTAAAGCACAGGGACAATGACAGAAATAGTTAGAACTACGTCGTATCGATCGTACAAATTAATCGATCCGTCGAAGACCAAGGGCACGCGTGCACGTGCCATAAAAATAAACAAGATGCAACAGTAACGTCCTTGAAAACGGATGGTAGAAGGCTGTGTGACAGACAGCAAGGTAACCAATGGCGGATTATTCCGAATAATAGGTTTTGGTGGCGTATTTGGTTACACAGTACCATGGGATAAGGGATAAAATGGACAAACTACAAAACAGTGAACACAGCCGGACCAATTACGTATGATTCGCTTAAGGAAACTCAGGCAAAATGGCCTTCTGGCTTGTTATGAGGGTAGATGGGTTTCACAAAAATAATACCACTGAAATCTTGATGGTTCGATAAAAACCAGCTGCCTTCGTACCAGTTATGCTTCACTTTTGGTTGTTCCTCCATTTTTTGCAAAGACCAGTTACATTAAGAGGGACGTAGAGGATGGTGATAG